CTTGTTGGGTGGAGATTGAGTGCATGAACCGTGAGTAAAACTTATTATAATTCTAGTTTGGAATTCCTGTCTCTAAACTCTTCAGGAATGAAAATGAGCTTTACATTCTGTAAATTATACAGCTTTTATGTCATTGGAGTAGATCTTAACTAAGCTTTTTTGGTCAATCTTCAGATACCCATAGCATCTCTAAAACGTCTTATGTCTCAACATCATCCGTTCCACCAACAGATTGTCCAGGGAAACTTGACTGCAAAGGTAGGTGCTGCATTAAGTGTAGCAAAAGGTGCCACCAATATCGACAATATGTTACGCCAACCCGTAAGCTGCCTATGTAGTTTATACCTTTATACCAAACCACACATCTTGAGATTATACTTCTTCATGACGATAAGCTACATTTGAACTAGGTTTGATGAGTGGTCTTCCATGCTTATCTTACATATTTTCTCCTGTAGCTGATGTATGTAACAATCTTCATGGTGCTTTTTTTTTGTTTTGTTTTATTCACTGGTAGCGCGGTCCAAGAGTACAGTTATACGTGATGCAATGAGCATATCAAACAGTGCCACAACTATTTATTTTGTTATACCAACCTTTAGGCCGCCTATGTAATTTATAACTTTATGCCATATTACACATCTTGTAATCATACATATTCATGACGATAGGCTATGTATAACCTACATTTGATAGGTGGTCATCCATGAGGGTCTCAATAGGAGGGAAGGGGGTTAAGTCGAGGTTGACAGTTGAAAGTAAGCCCTTTTGACGGTTGACGGTTAAATTTTAGGTCATTTGACGGTTATGACGGTTAATTTTTGGAAATGTCGCCTATAAAACAAACTAGACGCGCGAATTTGGCTGTAATTTTTCATGATGACGCATTTGTAAAGAACTGTTAATTTATGACACCTTTTATTAATGAAGTGAGACCTTTATTTAAGTGTCTTTGGGCTTAACCTAAGAAGACTAATTAGGGACACTATAATTAAAATACACTTATAAAAATTGTATATTTACACGAAAATGAGTAAAATTTAAAGCTTAGAAAGCTAAAATATTCCTATTGACTACAAAGATTACAGCAATGCTGTGATTAATTACAATCTCGTCTAGGTTCAGTTTTCTTCTTTTGTTTATGAAAACACATAAATTTGGTGAATCCCTTTGATTATTAGTGAGTTTTGTCCACAAAAACGGCCCGAGATATCTGACAGAGTGCTTGCCTTAGCAAATAGTTTCAAAACGTGGTAATACAAAGTCACTATTCCGTAGCGAATGTGTAGAGCCTTTGCGAACAAATAATTCAGAAACGCAGTCGCGTACAAGACCATGTTTGACTTCGTACATAAGTGCTGTGATATCCTGAAGCCGTCCATTATATAAAGGGGGCATATCAGCACACCTTAGGAGTTCTTCATACGTAGCAGAGTGGGATTTATAAGTAACCCTTAGGGCTCGTTCTTGTAATCGTTCTAACTTTCTTTTGTCCGATGATTTGCAAAAATG